CCCCCCCGCCACACTTTCCCCTCAGACGACACCCTGATGCCATGCACGCCCACGCCCCGTCGCTCCGCCGAACTGTCTGCGCCGCTCCGCCGCTCCCCGCCAAAGTTGTGCCGAGCAGACGACGACGATGACGCCATGGCACACCCGCGATGGCTGAGAGTATAAGGCCTTCATCCTCGAGGAAATTTATAACACGAACGTCAGGGCAAGGAAATAGATTTTACTCTCAGCTCGTAATACTTGTGGGATTATCACCATTATTTTGAGTCGCTTGAGAGGCTTTTGTTTTAGTACGTACGAGTTAGTCTATTTGAACGACCGAATCGTACACACAACTTCAGTGACTTCAGTCGGCGGCGGTGGCGTCGTTGGTGTAAACTGTAGCGCGCGCCGCCCGTGTCTCGTGCGCCTCTGCTGAAACGCCAATAAACTCAGCCCCCCCCCCCCTCGTTCTCTCTTCCTGGCGCTCCCCGGGATACGGCGGCACGGGCAGAGGCAGCACGCGCGCCGGGCGGCCAGGACTGCTATTTCTGAGTGGCGCGTGGCGAGGGGAAGGGAAGAGAGGGGAGTGGGAGCAGCAGCAGCAGCAGCAGCAGCAGCAGCAGCAGCAGCAGCAGCAGCAGCAGCAGCAGCAGCACCACCACCACCACCACCACCACCACCACCACCACCACTACCACCACTGTACCACCACCAATACCACCACTGTGAAGGGGAGGCGAGGACATGCGGCATGTCGGCGCAGTGCGACGCACGTCCACGTCCAGCGCACACCGTCACCTGTACTGGGGCTGCCGATGTCGGGGGCGACCGCATCGCAGGGCCCCCATCCTTCCCCGCCCCGCCCCGCCCCGCCGTTAACAGCCCCCCGGGGCTAGGGCGGGCGCGGGGCGTGGCCGGGTAGCAGGGGGACCGCGCCGTCACCTACGCGATAACGAGCGCCCGGGTATTCAATTCACGTACGAAACGACGTTAAGCTGACCTAATTTCAGAGCGCCGGCGCTATCAAGTGAACGCTCGGCGGCCTCCGGGGCCGGGGCGGGGTGGGGAGAGAGGCGGGGAGAGACGTGAGGGGGCAAAACGGGTCAAAGCGAGGGCGCATGCAGCAACCCCTCCTCCTCCTCCTCGCCCACCCCTCCTCCTCCTCCTCGCCCACCCCTCCAACCCCCTCGCGCCGGCGCCCCGCCTCTCTACGCTGCAGCCCAAAACATCACCACTGCTGTAATTAGATTTCAGGCTGGCCGCCCCGCCCCGGCCCGCTTCGCGCCGGCCCGGCCGCACTCGCGCCCGCACCACCCCGGGGCGGACACAGAGGCGGGCGACTGCACGAGCTGCGCCCCTCCCCCTCGCCCCCGCCTCTGGGAGCGACCAATCAAAACATTTTGTTTTCTCTGCGCGGCTGCTGGTCCCGACCGCTGTCGTCCTCCTCAAAGGAGGACCAGAAACTTCATTCCCCCCACCGCACCGCACCGCACCGCGCCCACGGACGTGTCGCCCGCCGCCGCGCAGCCACCGCGCGACGCCGCGTCAATCTATTCACATTTATGTATTCTTGGCGCGGTCCGGCCCCAGCCCCGCCCGCCGCGCGCAGCGCTCCGCCAGGCCCCGCCAGGCCCCGCCAGACGACGCGAGCCCGGCTCACGGCACGCCCCCGCCCGCCACGGGACTACACTCTTCACTGTACACTCGAGGTGTCCGCGAGTGTCTGGCAGGAGGCCTTGCTGTTTGGTGGTCTGACTGCGCAGGGTGCGGGCTCCAACTAACTGGCTGCCCCCCGCGAGTATAGTAGTACACCAGCGCGTACTCGTTGCCGAGACATACCGACCAGACAATTACTTTTACTGTCAGCAGTTGGGACAAGACGCAAAAAAAAGAAAACAAAGAAAAAAAACAAGGAGCGGGGTCTGGTGGGATCGGGTGGGGTACGGTTGGCGTTGGTGC